CATAAAGTGAGTAAGACAGTGAGTTGTGTATTGATAGGGCCGAAGAAACATTTCCAAATGCCATCCTGGGAAAGGAAAGGACGAGAAACAGCGCTGGGGAAGAGCGTCCCTCGCACAGCCCTCAGAGCTGCCACCATGCACAAGATGGCGGCCGGGGCTGAGGCTGTGCCACCATGCACAAGATGCCGGCCGGGGCTGAGGCTGTGCCTCTCAGAGCGCTCTGCAGCCTCTGCCAGCCCAGCCCCAGCCCCGGAGCAGCGCAGGGCGGGCAGAGCCCCCTTCCAGCCGTCTGCTTCAATGGACATTGACAGACACCCGGGCCACGCACACAGGCTGACACCTTTGCTCTGTGCACACAAACACGTACCACACACTTGGGAACCTCAACTGGCAGCATTTTCAGGTGGAAATACAAAGAAACTCCAGGGTTTGAAGGTTTTCAAATAGAATATTTCATTTGCCAATAAAAGGACCAAAAGCAGAAAGGGCCATCCCAGCCTGTTTCTTCCATGCAGGAATAGTGTCACAGTGACTGTGAGCTGATGAAGACGGAGATGGGATTTAATCCAAAGCAGATTGTGCAGTGGGTGCTCACCTGTGATATGTATCCCTCACAGTACCTATTTATTTGGAACACTAGGAAGATTATGAGGCTGGGCAAGATATTAACCCTTTCAATACAGACATGAGACCTACAAACCTTGTTCATCTCTCCAGGGACAGAAAAGGACAGAGTAATAACACACAAAAAAACAACATAAAAACATCAAAGTCAGTAAAAAAAAGGGCCAAACCTCAGATAGAAAATAAATGAAAAAATGGCAATTGAAACTAAAATAATCATTTAGTAAGACTATAGAGATAATCATTGATATACTAAAATATCTCATTTACTTCATGAAAAAAAGTATAAAATAAAGTATTAAAATTGTAAATCTAAACAAAAGCAGCCATTAATGAAACAAATGTTAAAATAACTGTAATCCCATGAAAAGCTTGAACAGAAAATAAATAAAAACAGTAACATCCCCATTGCATTGATGGAGAGAAGTAGAAAACTTCCATTTCCAAAGATGATCGCAAAAACAAATGAAGAAAACTTTTGCCTTCAAACAACTCATCCTTAAAATAACACCCCATGAATTCATAACCCATAGACACACCTCTAGGAGGGCTGTAAAAATGAGAAAAATGTCACAATAGAAATTTTTTTTCCCAGATGCCTGCTATTTGTAAAAATAAAAAGCCACAAAAAACTTGTTTCTTGTAAAAAAGTCTTCATGATACAATAAGAAAAAACTCCTCTCCCTACAAAAACTAATAAAAAACTCTTCTGTAATGAATTCTGTTTTAACATCCCAAGTTCTATCTCTATGCTGTCAGTTAAAAAAAAAAAAAACAACAAAAGTTATTCAGGAGAAGAAAGGCATTCTGTAAGTTTTATTCTGGTTTCTCATTCTTGTAGTCCTGTTAATAAAGTTCCTTTATTCCTTCTAAGTTTTAAGCCTATTTTGCCCTTCTCCTAATCCATATCTCACAGTGAGAAATGAGTAAGTGCCCTGGAGATTTCAGCCAGCGCTAAACCCACCACATTATTTAGTGCATTAGCCAAAAAACTCAAATTAGCGAATCTCAGCCACTGCACCAGGCTGAAGCTG